TACTTTAATATCTGTTTCCCAAGTATTATTCTTCATAAGATGCTCTAATATAATTATCTAATACCCGAAACAAGATAAATTAACTTTACATTTTCATCAGGTATTGAAATACATTGGAGAGGTACTCCAATAAATGTGTAATAAATTAAAAATATTTAATACTAAATAATGATAATTTAACATCTAATCAATTTAATAATACTATAAATACAGTTAAAAATAGAAAATTAAATTGTTTGTGGGAAGTAAGTGTTCAATCTACATAATGTACATTCAAGTTTAAATTGTAAAAATATTCCACCATTGTATCCTGTTTACTATTAATATATATTTAGTTTATTTACTCATGTTTTACATACTTTTGTTTATATGTATTGCATATCAATTAAACTGGCWATCGCGGTACAATTTATATTATGTACATATACAAAATTAATTAAAACTATCTTTTGTTATTAKTTGTTAATAATCCGCAAGAGTTCAAATTTAAAATAAATATGTATTGTATAGCTAATTATCCTTTTAAAGATAATATACTATTTATGTTTCAACAAATTATTTTTATGGTTTCACTCAATTAGATCTSAATAATATATCTTATTCTTTGCTTTATTGTATTTACAACATGTGCAACTTAACTCATATAATTCTTGAATTATTCATAGATTATAGAAAAATAAATTATTTACTTTACCTCTTGTTTTGGAATATATTTTTTTAGTCCAAATGGGGTCCGTGAGATGAAATGAAAACATTATAAAATTATTTTTACAAACCATCATTAGTGATGGTATCTACCCAATATGTTGCCTGTGTGTAATACCTGGTGTAACGCCTGTGTATATACATATTGTATATAAATGGATAAAAAATATACAAAATGCAGGACTAACTAAAACTTTGAACACATATAGTATATTATAATATATACAAATAAAAACAATATTTTATTTCTCAATTTAAGTACTTGATATATATAGATGATACATAAGAAAATTTTATTTATTTTTTAACTCTTATTCAGTTAATATAGTTACTTATTTGTACTCATATTTTTGTTTTACATACTATACTATTTGAAACTTATTAGAGTAAATAATAATTACTTTTTGTTTTATGTGTAGCTAAAAGTGGTGGAAGTAAAACTATTACAGACGAAGACCCAATGAGTGACGTGAAAGATGAAGTTAAAGCTGATGGCGACAAAAATATTGAGCAGCAGCAAGCATTACCAAAAGTTGTTGATGCTGACATTCCAATGACATTTGTGGAGACAGATCACGATTCACTTGAACACCATAAGAAAAATGATAACAATGAAGATAAAGAAAGTGACTCATTGAAACAAGACGAGATCTTAAGTACTGTGCGTCTAATAGGTGAGCCACTAGCCACACATGGCCCATACACGTTTTACAGTGCGTTAGCATATCGTAAATACAATGATATAACAAAAAAAAAGAGACGGCGATGGAAAAAATCAATAATAAAAGTAGATGATGAAAGTGATAACGCTGGCGAGTCTTATGATTCATCATCGTCATGTTGCTGTGCCAATAATGATACTGGCAATGATTTATGTTTCTGTGATAATGAATCATTGTCATCAACGTCTTCATCATCRTCTCATTCTGAATGGTCTGTTGTGCACATGAATCATTTCTATGCAGTCCGCCCATGGTATAGCAAAAAAAACAGCAGTATTAGTGACCGGCAGCAGCTACAGCAGCAGAGACGTCATCGAGATAATTCACCAAAATTGGCGAATACAACTGCAGAAGCAGAGAGGCGACAGCATCACTATCAGCAATCAGTTTGTATTGGTGAGCTGGAGTTATTATGGCGTGATGACAGYGTAGTAACGTCTTCAACAGCTCCGTCGTCTTCGTCACAACTCAAGAAACGTAATAATAACAGAATTGTGCCACCTGCACTGTTAACAGTGGCATCAAATGGCGGYGATGATGGAACAGATACTATGATAAGCAGTAGCAACAACCATAGTAGTGCTGTTGCCAGTTCTGATGACGACGATGGTGTTAGTGGTGGATTTGATGATGATTCATCAACATTATTGCCACGCCGTCGCACTTTGCCCAGGCGCACTCGTCAGCCATCTGCTAAGAAACTCGAGGCTGCAGAATCTTATGCCGCAGTGGCAGCTGCAGCAACATCTGATAACCATCTCTCATCACAGTCATCATACAGCCGCAATCGTGTATCGACAGCTGCGCAGTCGGAGTCCACTTCTGTAGCTGTTCCACTGTTGTCGCCAGACGCTCAGTATAGTCATGGAAATGTACTGTGCAGCGTTCGGTTATACGTTATGCCTGATCAGACAGCAGCTGGTCGACTTGGTGGAGTACATGGTGAGGATGAAGTGTTAGAGATCAACACTTGGAGTGGTAGTGGTGGTGCAGAAAGATGGCCGAGTAATATATTTACTAACGGTAACAGCGGTGTAGGATCTATCTACAATGGTGGTGGTAGTGTTGACGATTATGGCTATGGTAGTGGAAGTCATTCATCAGGAACACTCCCGTCTGGCTGTTCAGGGTTAGTATTGAGAGCTGAAGATTTTGTTGAATGGGTTCGCGGTGGAATGATGAATGATGATGACGAAAATGAAGAAACAGAGTCTGATGATGAGTCGTCAGAATCTGATTGTGATAACAACAGCTCTAATGATCAAAAATGCGACAAAATAGAAACTTCAAAATTGAAGGATGAACAACTCTCAGAACTGTCATCATTAGTAACAGATACAAAGGTTGATGTAAAACAATGTCAGGAAGAGATTTTAAAAACTTGGCACAATGATAAAAACATTAAAGTGAAATTAGAATCAACCTTGATCAAAGATGAAGTGATAAATGAAAATTTATTTTCTGTAAATTCAGAAAAAGTGAAGAAGGAACAAGTAGAGGTGACTGATACTGCTGATTTTGGTGTCGAAGGTAGTAAAACAATAAAACAGAAACATGATAGTAGTGACAGTAATTTTATCTCTAAATATGCTATTGACGAGGCTGTAGAAGCAGAGAATGTTCCCTTAGCTGCAGCTAGAATTCATAAAAAACACTGTGAACGTGTTACTTACTGTCATCGACACTGCCGTCGACAGCGCCATCGTTTAAATCATAGATCATTAGAAAATGGTGATAGCTCTAGCACTGCCACTAAGAAAAATGATTGTCTCCATTATAATGAATCAACGGTGATAAATAAAGGTACTATTTGTATTAGACCTAATTTGATGTTATTTTTATTATTTGTTTTATTATTTTTTTGCAGTTGTAAAAAAACAAGACAATGATAAAAAATGCTGCTGCTATTGTTGTAAACGCCGTCGTCAAAGTAACCAACAATATGAAAAAAGAACAAAAAGCAATGTTACTGTTGGCAGTTGTATTAAACAACGATTGGTGGTTATGAGCTACTCTCGATACTGCAGATATAGAGCTCAATTGCAACGTAAGCGTGAAGAGCAGTTGATCCAAGGAAATACCCCTGTTGTCATTGCTGATAATAAAGTTAAGTTGATGACAGCCACTTCCCATGGAGTAGATTCAATGACCAGAGTACTATTTTGTCGAGACACTTATGATTATCCAGCTGAACTTCTGTTGGAGCCTTTTAACGCACAACAAAACCATCAGCAAAATACGGCAATATTGGTCAACCACATGGGTATGTGCATTATATATTAAATCATAGGTGATCATAATATAATACATGACATTAAAGTGATATATAATTTCTTGAGCAAATACAAGGTTTAAAAATGTTAACATTCCCATTATTAAATTATTGTGCTAATAATTTAAAATTAAAAAAATATTTAAATATCCCAATACTTCTATTACACTGTATTTCTGTTTTAATTGAGATAATATTGAACACATCATACATAATTATGGCTCTTGATAAAAATCTACAGAAATTAAAAGTATATTAAATTTAATATGCTAAATTACATTAAACTATTTTATATTTTATAAAATTACCTAATTTTTTTTAAATTTGTCAAACAACTTGAGGTATTATTTCAACTGGAATATTATTATGATTGATTAAATTAAGTTCGATTAAATAAGTTCAATTTGTCTAATATATTATTTTTTCAGTTTTATTTTAAAAAGCTGGTTTATTGATTATTAGATAGGTACTTATTATTCGTTACTATACCGGGTGATTCTTTTATCATTGAACACTCATTATTTTAAAAATTACTAATGTTTTTGAAAATATTTTTATTTTTTAGTTTCAAGTTGTTCAAAAACCAACGTTTTTATTAAAAAAATTTATCGTAAAATATTTTTTATCCTTATAATTTTTCAAGTTTTTWCTTTTTTGAATGACAATATAAAGTTTTAATTTCATATTCCAAAGTAGAATATCTTTCTAAGAATTTAATTCATAAAAATCAAATTTAGGACGAGTAGTTTATGAGTTATAAGTATTTGAAGTTTTGACAAGCGGAGTAGTGGACAAACATTTTGCGGGGTAATCCCGTACCACTCCACTCTGCCAATCTAAACTTTCAATACTTATAACTCATAAACTACTCGTCTTAAATTCGATTTTTATGAATCAAAATACTTAGAAAAATATTCTGCTTTGGAATATGAAATTAAAACTCTATGTTGTCATTCAAAAAATTAAAAAACTAAAAAAATAATAAGGATAAAAAATATTTTAAAATACATTTTTTACATAAAAGCGTTTGGTTTTGAACAACTTGAAACTATGTAAAAAAATATTTTCAAAAACATTAGTAATTTTTGAAATAATGAGTGTTCAGTGGCGTATTTAGGGAGGGCCCCCCCCCCTTGGCCCGTGTAGTACATATTATAATAGTATAACACAATACTACTCAGTAATCGACACTTGTATTATACTTTAATACTTTATAATGTATGATTAAATAATGATTTGATATGAAAACCAATTAAATAAATCTTAATTAAATATAAAATATAATATACTAAAACGTATGATTTTGGTGTTATATCTGGTGGGCCCCTCCCTTGAGAGATTTCTGGCTACGCCACTGTGAGTGTTCAATGATATAAAGAATATAAAGAATCACTCGGTAATATAATGTTATTATATCATTTATATTGTGTTTGTCATTACTTTTATAGCGCCTAAACTCAAAGGTTGGCCCTCTCATCCAGCATCCTGGATGTCATTTCGATGGAACCGAGTGCGCCGTCGGTTACGTCATCTCGAGCGTGGTGGTGATAACAATGATGACCGACGTAGGCGTCATCGACGTCGAAAGCTTAAGAAAAAGTGTAGTCGACAGCAAAATGGGGCCAGTGGGGCGACTGTAGGAATGAATTATGCGTCATCAACTGATGATGATGATTCAGATGATTCAGATTCTGATGATGGGTCTTCTGCTACAAATGATGCTGCCTCGAATTCCACTTCTGATGCTTCTACCTCTGATTCGGATAGCGCACCACCACCATCATCAATAGTATCTAAAACTGCTAATAAAAATAATTCCTCTACAAAAGTGAACAGTCATCACAGTAATAAAAAAACTATTTCTACTTCATCTACTGGAAACATGATCGTAATTAACGGTGCTACTACTGTATCTGCAGCTGTAATTAATAAACGTTCAGCAGCGGTTATTGGGCAACCTGGTCAGCAACAACCGACTAAACGTCGCCGGGTGGTTTATACCTCAGAGCAACTTCAAAACCAACATCCAAACCAACCACGAGTAATTTACCAGCAGCAACAATCACATCCAAGATCTAGACAGCCCCAGCAACAGCAGCAGTATAGTCACCGATCTAGACAATTAGAACAGTTTAATCAGCTTAACCAATCCCAGCGTCAACAACATGTCTTCGCTACTCAGCAGCAACAACAAAAACTACAGCCATTAAACAGACGACTGCCACCACCCATTTCGTCTCTACAATCTTCAACAACTAGAATAATACATCATCACTTGCCACCTTCAGTATCTATCATGCCAGTCATAGTCCCCACTTCTAATAGTTCTCCACATCAACAACTACAACGATTTAATAATCGACTGCAAAACCGTCAAAAAATACATGCTACTACTACAGTTTTACCAGTAACTTCTCAGCGAAGAAATAATAACTTTGAACRACAACAAATGTCTCTTCCGCCTGTCATAATAGAGTATGACGACGACGATGAACACCAAGAGTATGGATCTGATGATAATGGTCGATACAAAAAATCTACAGTGGCGGCAATGGTAGCTTGCCAAAGACGTGTTTCACACCAAAATTTTAACGATGAGCAAAGACAACAGCGAGAAGATGAAGAAAGGCAGCGTCGGTGGCTAGTAGATGCTTTGCGATTGGGTGGGTTGGAAGTTACCGCGGTACCTTTAAATGCAAGTGCTAGTAGTGGAAACAGCGCTGGAAAAGATGCTAGTGCTGCAGTAACTTCACAACAACGTCGGCGGCGTGGTGTGTCATTTGAATCATTGTTGTCCGCAAACAACGAAGACTATAATGATGGCATTCAGAATGAACTAAGTCACGGTGGTACTGACGATGACTCAAATGTAGATTCAGACTCAGATTCTGTAGTGATGACTGTGACGCCTGATGTTGTATGCCTATTGAACAAGTCTCAACAACATCAGCAGCAAATATCTCATCAAAGACAGACATCACCAGGAAATGGTTTGACATCAACAACCTCGGTTACAATGAGTCAACATCATCATCAGCCACGGCGGTCAGCTAACATGAACCACAGTAACATTGGTGACCAGCAGCATACTACAGCAGCGGCGGCAGCAGTGTTACATGATAAAATAAATCGCGCAATTGATTCACTGAAATTGCAGCAGCAACAACAAAAGCCAAACGAAGACACGCCAATCAGTAATAACAGTAACAATGTATTATTGACCGGTGAAACTAATCATGAGATTCCTATTAGTGACAATAATAATAGACAACAGCAAAGACTGCGCAAAAATTGTGGTGTTGTCCGGCAACAACAGACGTCAGCCCTTCTGGACCTTTCTGTTAAGTCATCAATGTTAGCAAACATCACAAGACAACAAAGGACAATGTCAACAGTTGTGAACAGCAACGTCAGCAACCCACAGAATCAGCAAAACCGAAAAAGCTTAATACCATTCCATTCTACTATCACTTCAGGACCTTCAACTGCCGCGACTAACCTAGAAATTACAATTGTACCTGTWACAACTTCGGCCACATCTAATTCATTGAGGCTTCCATCACAGCAACAACATAAACGTAACTTGTCAGCAGCAGCACATAATAGTGGTAGTTCTGCTGCTGGTTCTTCAGCTCCTATGACAGTTAGGCAACAACTACAACGTCGGAATGCAACTGTGGTCTCAACAACTACTGCATCGGCATCCATTGTAGACATGTTATGTGGAGGCAGAAGTCGAAACCATCAACAACGTAATAGTAGTAGTATGTCTGTAACAGCAACATCTACTATTACTACTTCTACTCCTTCTTTGCAGCACAATCAACAGCAAGAAATGCTGTTAATCGCTGCTACTGCAATGGCTGCTCAACAACAAAAAACTGATAAACGTAAGTCACAGCATAACAAAAAAGATTAAAATGATCATTTACCAATTATTCAGTTATTCAGTGTAAAATAATAGTTGAGAAAATGGAGACTATGAAATTTTGGTTTGAACGAAGTATAATTTATTTATGCATATATATTATAATCATAATGTATTATTATATGTCCTATAATTTTAAAAATAACATACAGATTAAAGTTAAGTATATTGTATCTGGTTTATTTTATGTAAAAAATTTAAAACGTAAGGTGTGTGTATATGTGTGWATGTGTGTATGTTTTGTTACAAAAGCTATAATATTATTTTTCTTTTCAACATATGAATTTAATATATAAATATATATATATAATGCATGTATTGTAAAATGTTAACAATATTAATAATAAAAATTTAAGAAGAACAATTAATTTTATTATAGTAATTATATTGGTATTTAAAATTTGTTTATTTATATTAGCATGTTACCTTTATTGTATTCACCATCCTGTACATAATTAAATAATATTATGTTGTACCTTATCAATTTTATACTATGTAAATATATTTGTATGTAGCTACAATTTAGGGCAAGTTATAAACTTGCACTTTATACAGTCATAGTTTTCCACGCAGTCTTAAAATATAAACTGTTTATGTACGACTTAGGTATTTGTAAAAATAGTAAGGAATATTGCAACAATATAAATTTAGTTATTTAATTTCAAATGTGATGTTAATATTCAAACATAAATGATTTAAATTTGTTCATAGGACAAACACATTATTTATGCCTGTTTATTTGGTATATAGATTAGGTTAGATTAATAGCTATGTAATTTTGTGATTCTTACACGAGTTTTCACTACGGTCGATAAGGTGAACACCGAGATAATAGCAATTGCTAACAATTTGATTTAGAATATTTATATAGTTATTTATGATAGTGTCAATATACAAAGGGGGAACGGTAACGATGCCCCCCTTAAAAAAATAAATAATTATATTTAGGATATTATATTCAAGGTATATTAATTGTATTTTTATTTTAAACTAACCTATAAAATAAATTTCGAATTAATCAAATCGGAACCATTCATATAATATAGCATATAAAACGAATAAAATTACATAATGATAAACTCAATGATATTCCGTTGTAAGATTATTACTTAGTATATTTTAACCATTATCTAYCTATATTCTATATATTTATATATTTATGTATCTCTCTATTTATATATGCATACAAATATACTACTAGCATGTGCTAGCGAAATAACAGGTAACAAATTTAACTATTTTCATAGGCGTGCACAGGGGGGGTGCCGGGTATGCCATGGCATCCCCTGCAGTATACTCAGATAGCTTGTTTTATGTTTTTACTTTTAATAGTGTAAACTATCAATATTATCATAATTTGTATCACAAACGTAACAGAGAGTTTTGTAATTATGTATTACATTTTTTTAGAAAAAAATTCTGATTTCTGTTTTTTTTTTTTAAGATAAAAATTGAATTATTTTGGATTATATTGGCATCTCCTGCGAATATATTCTGCGCACGTGTATAACTATTTTAACTCTTAGTTTGAGACATATCAGAGGTAGGATTTTTAACGGGCTACAAAGTGCACTATTCCAGCTAATAGCTAATAATTATGTAATGATATAATAGCTAATAAATACAAGATAAAATATTTWAAAAAAATAGTAAATAATAAATAAAACAATATATGTTATTGAATTGTAGTCAATAATAATATATATTATACATATATCAATAACTAGGTTGACTTGTCAGAAATATTTTTACAAAATACCATAAATTTATTTAAAAAAAACCACTGTATAAATTATTATCGATGTAACTTAATAGTTTTGGTTATAGCTTTTAAAAAGTCTAAAATGTACTAAGCTTTAAAAACTTTTTCTCTGAGACTTTTTTTCCGTTCTCCGGTGTACGAGCTAAACACCCAATATTATTTCAGACATTACCCTTACACTTTTTAGGTATAATAATAATTTATAAATTAACAGGCATAGTCGTATAGATAACATCAAATCTGGGCAAGTTAATAATATGTTAATAASTAATAACATTTAAAATTCAAAAAATAAATTACCTACTCAAAAATTTAAAAGTTATAAAAACTACTATACGTCTAAATATATATATTTATATTGATTATGATTATAATTTTAACCTGCTAAAAACATATTTTAGAAAATTATACATCCTCTTTTTAACCAACACAGTACTTACCTATATGATATTCTATGTATGATAATAGTTACCTATTGATATTACCTACACTGGCTACACTTAACTAATGAACTTAAATTTTATTAATTTTATCAAGTATAGAAATTAATTAAATAAACATATTATGATGTAAATTTCAAGTTTCTATAGTTATTCATTTTTGAATGACAACAAAATAAGAATATCGGTAATAGATAAATTGAGTGAATATTCAATGTTGTAATTCAAATGCTCATAAAAATTGATTTTCGGGAAGACATTTTTAATTTGATAAAAGTAGACAAACCCGTGAAGAATCTTGTATTGAATTTTCAAATCTTAGATTTATAAAGATATTTTTTATGAATTTCCAACACAAAATAAATTCTAAATTTTCGTGATTATTATGTATTTTGTTGAAATTCGAACTTTCAATGCTTCTTTAAAAAAAATTGTTGCTTTGTATTTTTTAACTACCATTTAAAAAAATATACTAGGAGCCTTGTATTAAATTTTGAAGTTTTTTTACCCAACAAATAAAATTGTATTGTCATTTATAAATGAAAAAAACTAAAAAGCTAGATTGAAAATTTCAAATGTCTATAAATAACTTAAAAAGATTTGAAATATTTTGAACATTTTATCAAGTGTAGAAAATGTTAGTTCAGTGAAAATCTCATGTTTCTATTTATCATATATCATATTTATATTATATGTATTATATTATTTATATATTATATAGTCATTTTTTAGAGTTACATCAATATTATTTAAAATCGATTTTGTCGTGAAAATTCCGGGTTTTCTATAATTTATTTTTGTTTTTCCCTATGCTTATGAAAACTACTCAATGCATCAACTAGATTCTCTTTCCAACCGGATAAGTTACTGATGTGGAAAATCAAAGCATTATAAATATGTGTTTACTTTATTATTTTCATTCCCAATGTATCAAAATTTCACCTTATAATATCACAATTATTCACTAATATATTAAAGAAAAATATTTTGTTGACACTTACACTTTCTATTTCCTAATCTATATGATAATATCAGCTAGGCAGCCTGATTCTGGCATCAACAGGGAAAATTCCTTAGATTAATAGTACCTAGTTTATTTAGTATCTACATTATGGGATTTGCATGGGTAAAACTGTTTGAGAAAATAAATATTGCAAAAATATTGAAAAGAATTGCGTAGAGTTATATTTTAGTATAATTTTAAATTACCTATTATATACAATTATAATTTTAAAGAATATTTTATAGCACAAAATCTAGTTGTCGCTTTTTTTCTTTAGTGCGAAACGATCGATAACATACCTATCGATTTAAATTTGCTTGTGCACAGTGTGCACACTCAAAAGAGCTAAACCTAACTTAACCACTAATCAGTAACCTGATAAGTTACCTAAATATTTTTTAATATTTTCATAGTTTAAAATGCGCGTTCTGGCGTACAAGTCAAAACTCACAAGGATTCAAAACAAAAGATATGTTGGGAAAATATTCAGAGTTACAATTAATGTATGCTTCAATAGCTGAATTTGGACAGTCTTTTCTGGTTTGTTAGTCTATTTTCTTTTCTAAAGTTGAATTTCTGATGGTAGTATTTTTATATCCAGAAATTCAGAATACATTTCAAAGTCGTTTGTATATATTTCAAATTTGTTACACATTTTTGGTAACAACTTGTGCAGTGGAGAAATTTGTTTTTTGTGATTATTAAACCTTGACTGGAGCTATTCAATGAAATCGTCAAAAAAGGAATAGCTGTTGTTATGCGATWATATTATTCAGGCGAATTKGTAACAATATTAATTCGATGTTTTTGACGTCCAATTTTTTTAACGATTCTTGGTATTTGTATGTCTTCTACGTTTTCAAATGATTTTATAAAATCCTTAGATCATTTTAAAATCTTGGTTAATGTAACATCCAAAAAATTATTCAGAAATATTATAGGGTCGCAAGTACGCGTTACATGGCACACCACAGAACTGATACATTCARTGATACTAATATTTGTTCCAATATAGGTWTTTGTACTGAATACTGATGTATCATGTACGTATTTAATGTGTACAATAAATTTATTAATAATGCTGAAAATATCATGATGTTTATCGACTTTTCGTTATGAAATGGTAATATAGGCGATAATTTGATAATTTATTGATCGATAATATATTAAGTACCTTTTGCGTCCGTCGACTAAACGTCTTTAACAGTGTGTGATTTATCTATAATATACAATAATACCTATTTTACTATATAAAACGGTATCGGAATTTGTATTAGCTCAATTATAATAAAATGTGTAACAATATAATCAAACATATTATATAGACTATAATATAGTTACCATATTATTAGGTAGCCACATGGCAAATTATTATCATAATTAAGTTGCTTACATAAATTAAATTTATTAACTAAAAAATGTTTTGTTGTGGGTGGRGGAGGGGGTTCGAACACGAAGTTCCATGCAAGAGGAACGATTTTTTCATGGAAGTTATAGCCACAACCTTAAAAAGCAATGCTATTAAGTTATTGTTAATTTTTTTCATATTTTAAAAATTAGATACCAGTATGACAATTTATTGACAATGTAAATTCAGATCGCAGCTTTACTTGTTTATTTTATAATATAATTAAGGATGTAAAGATTAAATTAAATTAAGTTAAATTGCATAGTTTTATAAATATTATTATGTTAATRATGTGAATAATTATTTAAATATAAGTATATTGTTTAAAAATTGAATAAAAAAGAATAATTATGTATTAAATTGATACGGGGCATTTTTTCCTACAGTCGGGACTACTTTTTTTTCTGGGGATTTTTTCTCTAGATTCTTGAAATAATATTGATTATTTAAGGGACGTACTACGTCAAGTTCATCGCATGATGAAGTAAATGTTTTTACGTCATGCACATGCTACGCCGTAATCACAGACTTATATTTAGTAAGTTCTATACTAAAGTATATTTATAAGTTTATTATTATTACTAAATAGTAAATATAAGCCTGGACTAGTAATGTAATGTCATAATGTGATCAGGTCCCGCGTATACCATAATATACAAATTGTATATGATCTTGTATAAAATGTGTGTGCCTCCACTAAAGTTATCATAAGTGCGGTCCATCCGGTTACGAAAATGATACGATACCGCAGCCATGGTTGTAGTAGCARTAGTGGTATCCTCCGTGCTATCACAACATTCGTGTACGGCCGACCACACTACCACAGTATTTTCCCTTCTACCGTGCGCGTTCGGACGAATTTATGTTTTTATGTATTGTCCGACTGGTGTAGGCGGTGAACAGTGGTAGTGGTGGTGGTTGTGGTCTGTGGTGCCGACAAGTGATATAATCGTCGTTTTTCCTTTTCTTCTTTTTCATGCCCGTTGTCCGACTCGCATGTTAAATTGTTAACGCACTACTTTTTATGAAAAGGAAATTTTATTTTTTCGATTTGAATGTTTTAAATTTCACATGCTCAATATTCGTGAGTTATTGTATGATTATTTTTCGCATTATCGTTGAGTCGCGCACGTACGTCATTCACATAGTATTACTATCATCGTCGTTGTTGTGTCACTTTTCTCTGTGCACGAACGGACTACGTACCGAAGGCTCTCAGTGACGATATTTTCTAGCCGAGTTTTTTCGATATTTGCAAATTTGTTGACCGTCTTCGGGTTACAATTACACGTGGCCCGTGTTCCACTGCGTTTGTTTACATACCATCGTAGTGGCATGAACGTCACGCTGATTGTGGCGTCGTGCTCAATGAATTAGCGAGTGTGTTATATTGTGAATATCTGAAATTCAATTTTCGCGTCGGAAAGCGTACCGACAAAAGTAATAGTCAAGAAGTATTTCACAATTCCAAATTCTTAGTGTCAACATTCACATCACATGCGGCATATGGAGAAGTTTTTGAATAGAACTTGCACGCCATGTTGAATGAGTCGTATGTATTGTTCGCTATGATGTTGACGTCTTACTTGCACCAATCAAACTACCACACAATCTTGTTTGTTCAATACGTTTAGATATATATTTGATATACTATGATAATGGACACTACTTCCACTGCTGATACGGCACAGCAGCAGTCGCCTGCTTATGGTCTCATGAAACGGGGAAAACGTGGTGCAGCTGCACTCATTGCAGCTGCTTGTTGTAATACCCCAGTTGTTGCGACTACCATCTCGCAACAGCAGCAAGATGATGGTGGTGGAGATACAGCTGCAGCTGATTCTGCTCTGACTCGTTGTAAGTTACTGGACGAAATGCTGGATGTGATGCTTAATCCATATGATGCGATTAGCGAGTGGAATAATTTGGACTGGATACGCTGGTTGATGGCTGGTGGTAAAACCCTAGATGAATTTAGTAGTGCAGGTAAGTTTCAATTTTAACCATTTCATTACTTATGTATGATTTATTATTCAAATATTCTTTATTTTTTAGTCAAAGTTTATGACTATGGTACATGTTGTGGCCTTGTTTGGACGGCCAATTATGTAGCATATAGATGTCGTACTTGCAGTATATCTCCTTGTATGTCCCTGTGTGGAGATTGTTTTAAGCGTGGTGATCATACTGGTCATGATTTCAATATGTTTCGTTCTCAAGCAGGAGGGGCATGTGATTGTGGAGACACAAGTGTAATGAAGCCTGATGGGTAATGTGTATTCAAATATATCTATTTTTATCTTTTTATATTTAAATATTTCTAATTGATATTTTACAATGATCATTGATCACACTATTTTGGTGCAGAAATTTTAATAATATTTATAAGTTACAAAAACTAGATCAAAGTCGAAACTAATTTTTTTGTTGAGTAAAAAATAAGTTATTTGATATTAAAAACATTAATATAAAGTGGAAATATATATTCGTTTAAATCAATTCACCTTATATTAGGTACATTTTATGGGGTAAATAATGAATAATATCAGAATTAGGTAATTTTAGTTGGTTAATAAATAAATAAAAAATTAATATCTATTAAAATCAYAACCCATTGGTATTTTACGGATAATGTCCAAAAACAGGTATATTCAAATTCTCTAGATAACAATCCGTTTTACACATTTCCTGTGAATAGAAATACCAAAATTGTGGAAATGGGATCTTCTTTGGTTAATGTGAACATTAACTTTATCCATTATGCAATGGATAAAATAAATAATCAATAAAATAAGAYGATATAAATACTAATTGACAAATCATTATTTTTTATATACTAGTTTAGATAGTTAATTATGTATTATGTTGAGATACTTCTCTTGTAGTTTTAAAAATAAGTATACCCACTATTAATAAATAGTAATATTTATTCAGGTAHCTATTCCATTATAAACTAATGAAATATAAAAATAATTTATTAACATTCAATTGAAAACATTTTCATAAACATAAATAAACTTAGGCTTTGTTTTAATTTATAGTCAAATTTTCAATTATATATCATAATATTTTAATTTTTTTAAACGTATATGGTTCTCATTGTTTTTATTCATTTTATTAATTAAAACATTAACTAAATTTCTTTTTTTGATTACTCTTTAAGTATATGTGTATAAAAAATCAGATAGTACTGTAATAATGTTTTAAATAATATAGTATTAGCATTATATCAAAGAAAATCATTTCAATTTSTTCTTTTTATCAAATAGTACTTTACCCAATTAATGGTAGATTATATATAACTAGGAAACAGATTTATATGTAAATGCATATTTTTATTAAAACAAATCGATTTGACAAGAAATGTTCATGATTTAAATCATTCCTATTAAAATAATGCTACTTTTATTTTACATATTTATATGTATTTTGGTATAATAACATATTTCTTCATATTTTACTAATTTGTAATAATTTTTAAATATTTTATTATTTCATCATTCATATGTTTTCAAGCCATATTACTTAGGACATAAACAGTCATTTATCAGTATATTGTTGATATTTAGTAGTTATATTAGTTTTATAGTCCTTACCTTATTATCTTATTTAATTTTCATCCCACTGAATTTTAGTTTTATCGCACATACAATTACAAAATTAGAAACAAAAAACATGTCCTTATATGATTGTATGCAAATTGTCAAATCAGTGATTGAAAAATTAAAATTYGTAATTGGACCAATAGGAGATGTTGTAAAAAAGAAAATCTATGCTGTTACAAAAGAAAATCTAGGCTATATTGATTTTAAAACAATCAATGACATAATGAGTGGAAAAAAATTTAGAATTATCATCTTCCGATATTGCGTGGTTCAAATATGCTTCAATAATATCGGTTGATGTGGAACATCATTTAGCTGTTTTAAAAATATTTTGAGACCTAATAGGTGATTTATTTAATTAATATAAATAAATGTAAAAATAATATAAATAAAATAACATTTAACATTTGATAATTTAAAATTAATTCTAATAATTCAATGCTAAAAATCATTTTGATAATTTAATAATAATAATTTTATTTTTTCCCACATGTTTAAAAGTTTTTAGCACATATTTTATTATATTTTAGCTTCCATATATCTGCATATTTCTGAATTTTTATTACATATAAATCCGTTCCCTATTTATAACTTACCAGTGTAATGAACGAAAAAAATTGTTATARTAATAATATTTTTACTTAATCTGATAACAGGTATTAATACTGTTTATATTATCTGACTTTGGTACTTAATCCATAAAATGTACAAATAATATACTTTATATATCTACATAGTTAAGTTAAATAATATAAATTTTGTTTTTTATACCTTCAATATTAATATTACTAAAATGTCAGTATTAAATTTTAATAGTACTCAAATTGTTTCTAATTCCAACTTTGYATTACCAAGCTATATACATTTTTTACAATTATATAATGTACCTTTGATCTAATACATCAACAGTATTTGCTGAAAAAAATAAAATATTTTTCTTTTCTTTTTCAAGGTTTTGTCATAAGCATAGTAGTACAATCAATATTGATGGTACTAGTACAAGCAGTAATAGTGGTTGTAAACAACCTCCTGCCGATTTATTGAGGGTAGCTGAGAGAATAATGCCAAGACTTTTGTTACGACTAGTGCAGTATTTACGTGAAAACAGGTAGTTCAAGTTCACTTAGTGTAATATTTACCGAATTAAAATTATAAATATTAAATTTGTTTTTAGTAAAATTGCCGATTCTAGAACAAGTAATACTCATGTACCACCAGGAGGTGTTGGAGGTGCTGGTGCTGGAATGACAAATCAGCAACATAATTTATTACTTATAGACTTGGACCCTTTTTTGGGTATGCTACATGAATTTGGTGCTCTTGGAGCTGCTATGCGACGTGTCATGACTGTGTCTTTAACCAATGAAAGAGTATGATTTTTAAAACATTATCAATAATGAAAGAATTTAAAAAATAACAATGAGATTTTCTTTTTAATCTCATATAGATATATCGATGGGCATGTGATTATTATAGTAGTGCTGGAAATTATAATTTTGGTAGTGATTCTAGTCTACAGCAACAACAGCAGCAACCACAACAGACTATTTATACTATATATACAGATAAGGTACGTCGCTATTATGCCGAAGCTATACATCAATACACTGCATCAACATCATTGCCGTCATCAAGTAGTAGGCGACAACGTCGCAGTAATACAACAATTGGAGATTCTATTCATGGCAGTAATAGTCTTAGTAGTTCTGAAGAAGATGATGATGATGACGACGATGATGAATTTAGAGAAGGTAAATTTTAAATTTTATATCATATTACTATAAAAATTATTCTTATTAAAAAAATAAATAMATTTTTATATTTTATTACCTAATTTACTTAAATGGTATTTTATAGATTTAATATTTTATAATTAAAACAAAAAGTTTTTTTTTTAAATGACTGATTTATACTTGTTAAAAATAGTTCCAAAGGTAATTTTACATATCTAATCTTTTAACCTATCTGTAGAAAATAATTTTATGTTCAGAAACTATTTTTTACAACACTATAAGTAAGTTACTATTAAAAGTGTGATTTTGAAGAACCAGGCTTTTATAAAAAAATTAACAACTATGAGGCTGAATTTATTTTTTCATTCAAGGTAAAATTAGATATGTTAATTAAAATTGTATTAACCCCTAGAATACATGTTTCAACGGTCTAAAATACTAGTCTTTTAGACATTTGTTTAAAGATTTTAGTTAGTTAATTTTACTTAAATTCCTTTTAATTAGGGAATTAATTACAATTAACTGTATACAAGCTGATGTCAGTAATATAGAAGTGTTTATAGTTCATTATTAGATGTTACCTATTAATATAGCATCTAAAGGATCTTGAGCATGTTTAGAAAAACTCAACTATGGATTATTTTTAAATAGTGTTTCACATTAATTGTATTTTCAAAACTCATTCATTGTGACTGGTGAGATCATTGATAGTCGACTATCGTACGCTTTACAGTTTACAGTGTTTAATTAATTAAAGAACATTTGCATGTATACTCGTGAATATTTTAAATGCGTTTATTCTTAAATATAATCTCTACTTGAGCAAAGCTAAAATTGATTTATGCAGTGGCGGCTCGTAGATAGGGGCGATGGGGTGATCGCCYCCCTTCTAAAATTATCATTTATTACTAATTTATAAGTTAAATATTAAATTTCTCATTTATATTTTAGTATAATATTGTCAAAAATAAAAATTGTATTTCCTACATTTACACTAATACATATTATGAAAACATTATCAGGTAATGGGAGTTTAAAAATAAATAATTTGACGCTTTAGCTTCTGAGAATCGATAATCAATAACAATTTGCCAGGACCGACGAGCAGCACATGCGATGCTTGGGCGATGTTAAAAGTCGCTYGTCATTACTATGGTTGGAATACAAAAAATAAGAAGGGGGAACACAATAATAATACTGCTACTAGGGCGATGATTTTAATCGCCCATTGGCCTTTATGCACGGATTCCAATTTCCGAACTTGCGTATTTATTATTTACTTGGTGCGATTGTAACTCTAATCAATTCTATCTATAAAAAAGTGTTGGCAATTTAGAATTATAATAATTTATATGTATTAAGCTATTAAACAGATTAAAATAAATTATTATTATTAATATTATTTGTGTTTGATACTTTCCATAAATAAGCAATTTTATATCGCCCTCCCACTTTGAGAGCACACAAGCCGCCACTAGATTTATGATATTTATCTGATAATTAGTTTCTAAWCTGGTCATAATTTTAGTATAAAATTTGCTTATTTATTGAGAATAAAATGATTTTTGAAATAGTTATCAATTTGTTTTTTATTTTATGTATATTATTTAAATTTCATAGGTTTTTAAGTTCCATGTGATGGTCTGCAGAAKAATATTTATTATGTAGTTTTTTTATTTTTTAATATTTATAAGCATCAATATTTATATTAATTGTATGTTATAGTTATACAATAAAATATATAATGGTAGGTAATTTTAGGAAATAACTTTACATATTATACACTTAAATTAGTTGTGTATTTTTGCCATGTTTAATTTTTTTTATATTATTAATTAAAAGCATAGACAGTACTACAGGAGGGGCAGAGTATGCAACTGCCCCTCCTGTGGACCGTACGTATAAGATATCTCAGGCTTACAATAATAACATTCATATATTATTGCATTTAAATATTTTATTAATGCTAAAAGACTGCTATCATTTCTTGATTACCTAGTAATTAGTGTAGTAGTATATAGTTTGTTGTATGCTGGAACTTAGATAAGATTCTTATCCTGATAAAGTGATTTGCGCGAAAAATAGAATAATATGTACTCATAGATAATATATTATCTATTTATGTACCACGATTTCATAGATAAAAATATCTTAAATTGTGAATGTACTAACGGTATATTTACACTGTTTTSTGGCCCCCCTTGTCAAGAGGGTCTAGTACCTCCTCTGATTAAAAGACCTTCAGCAACAAGGGACCATTAGGTGTAAAACAGGCTTGTACATAAATATAAATTWAAAAAAATGTTAATAAACATCTTAACATTTTTATTATACATTACCTAACCTATTGCGTACTATCATATTTTATTTTTATATTACGATAACTTTAGGTATTTATCTTATGTTATAAATGTTGACCATTGTCTATGCCATATGAATAAATAATAAATAAAATGTTGAATTAATTTTTAATATCTACTTTGGTATTTCCAATTATTTCTGTATAATATTTTATACTTAAGCAATAACTGAATTAAATTATTTTTAACAATTAAATCACGATTGAATACATAGTTGATAATTATTTATTACATAAATATTGAATATGGAATGTTGATGTATTTTTTAGATGATTGGCTCGTTGATGGTCAGATTAGTAGAAGACGTAAAAACAAACTGAATCATTCCAGTTTTTTGCAAGAGATTGTTTTTTGGACTGTACGATATGAGTTTCCTCAAAAAATGGTCTGTTTTCTGTTGAACATGTTGCCTGATGCCGCATATAAAGAAGCATTAACTGAAGCATTTGTTATGCACTATGGATGTGTAGCTCGTGTTTTGGCCACAACAAGAGACTCAGATACCCTTTCTAACCATATTGTTCATATTAGTGTTCAATTGTTTAGTAATGAAGCATTGGCTACACGGATGGTCGACAAATTAGGATTGCTGAGAATAATGGTATCAAGTTTAAGGCGCATGATGAAAAAAATACTGATACCTTCAACATTACATGGTAAATTATTAATTCAATTATGAGTTTAGGATTACAAATTAAAATTGTATAAATTGAATTAATTTAAAATATAGTGGAATTTAATTCAGATTTAATTCATAATTTAATTTAATTTAATTCATAATTCAGATTTCTTGATATTTCAATAAAGTATAATTCTTATATTTCATTATATAATTATTTATTTATTACATTATAGATCCCATGAAAAAYCGACACAGGGTTGTAGATTGTTCAAAGGCTGTTATGAAAGAGCATTGTTATTGGCCATTGGTTAGTGATCTAAATAATGTATTGTCGCATAGGCCGATTGCTGTTAAATTTATGTGTGACGACCGTTTATTGGATTCATGGTTTTCATATTTATCAATGTTTCAAGGTAAATTTCATGTTTGTTTAAATTAACGATTTATGATATATCTAATAAATATACAATAAATAAACTAGTAATTAAAAAACTTAAATTATTATAGGAATGAATGTTAATTGTCGAGAGTTGGGACATCATGTTGAATTTGAACCAAACACTTATTATGCTGCTTTTAGTGCTGAACTTGAAGCTAGTGCATATCCAATGTGGGCCATGCTATCTCATCTCACATCTGCTGACACATTGTCACTATCCTTCCGCGTGTTACGTGCTTGTCTCAAACGTCTACGTAAATGGCTCATAGATGTCGGTTACTACCATGATCAGGACCATGGTAATGTTTGTGGTGGTACTGCGTCCTCTTCTGCTAACTACAWTACAAATGCTTCCACGACTATAATTCGAAGATTAGATGATCGTCATCAGTTCACTTTTCACCTGCCTTTGCATCGGTATTTGGCAGTATTTTTGTGTCAAGCTGTGCGCGCTCAAGGTGCTCGTATAGAAGACATWATACCACGAAGCAGCACGGATGATTCAGCAGATAGAGATTCATTGTTAATGGCAATTGCTGCACATCCTGTACGCGCTCAATCAGCATTCTACGAAATTATGCAGGGTGCATGGGTGCGTAATGGCTTACAAATTAAAGGCCAAGCTATGACGTACATCCAATCAAATTTTTGTATATCCATGGTAGATGCTGATATTTATTTACTTCAACTTTGTCTATCTGAATTATCAGATGCCAACATATTCATGTCTTTAATATTGGAAAAGTAATTATTATTTATTATCTATTATATTATATTATTATTGTTTAAGTTGGTAAATAACTTTTAATTGCTGTTGATGTTGTAGGTTTAAAGTGTATGATTGGATGCATGTAGTCAAACATGGTGGATTACCTCAAGTTATGGATTCGGAGGAATATGACGCTGCACCTAGTATGGAGGGATTATTAGTTTTCCTTGCCACTTTAATAGGTGTCCGTACCAATTTATGTTAGTARTAATTAAACATAATTGATAATATTAATTTATTAAGAAATAAATTAATATAAAATAAAATAACTTTACTATTTATTAGGTTCCGATGAAGATTATGATTATTGTCAATCACAATTAGAAATGGTCACATTATTATGTGTTTCTGATAAAACACACAGTCAATTAATGGAATTAATGCCTGAACGATGTGGTGGAATTCAAACTAGTGCCACAACTACCTCAAGTCCTAATACTAGTAGCGATGGCACATCTCGAAATCCTCCCTCCATTGACCAAGAATCTCCACCAGCTATGCGTGATTTTGAAACTGTATTACAAGCTGTAAGATAAATTTTTTTTATAATCTTAGACATTAAGTATAGAAAATATTTCATGATTATGTTTAATTGCAATTCAAGGTAGCTGAGTATAAGAGACCTCAGTTTGAAGCGTCTGGAAACATGCAACAAGGACTATATGTGCCTTTAGCACATGTCTGGCAAAAATTGTATGATCCAGTGCATGTGCTTTTGAGAGCTGTTCATAGACGTGACTTTCAATCATCCATGGACCGTTATACAACATTGTATGTTATTAATTATGTATATAATTTTTAAATTAATAATAGAAAACATAATATGATTTATTATTTTTCACTTATTATTTTATTTTTTTGGTATGTAGCATGCGTAGTGTTGGATTGTTGAAACAAAATCAAAATACTTGGCCACCGTATAGGATGCCACAGAAACACCATCCAGCATACCGCAATCCTTGTAGAGCACTGTTATCTAAGTTATTTCACGCTGTTGTCTGGCATTGCCTATATCGTTCAGCAGTTTACCGAGATATAAGTGAACATACACTTAGTCTACTGATCTATCTTCTTGACCAGGCTTGGATATTTTATAGTAACTCTCCTGTTGATAATAATCAACAGCAACCAATGGATATAGATCCTCCAGCTAAGCAGTCTGCATCGTCATCTTCAACAGCTTCATCTGGAGAATGTTCCTATGAAAGCCCTAATATCAAAAGCTGTCCTAAAAGAAAGATTAAAATAACCGTAGCAGATGCAAGTAATTCTGACAGTGAAACAGCTAATGCCAAAGAAACAACACTTCTATTGTTGAATCGTTGGTATGATCATGATGATTTGGCACACAATTTGTGTACTACTATTACACATGTTGAGTTGCCACCACCATACTACCATTATTTTTTTGGCGAAGAAGCAGCTAATACTACTTCTAATGCTACAGCTGCCTCGACAATGGCTACCAATTTATTTGATTATTTCACATCGTCTGTAGCAGCAGCTGCTTCAGTGGCTAGCTCTTCATCACCAACCACTGCTTCTCACAACTTTGAACCTGGTGAGAATAATTATTAATTCATACAAAAATGATCAATGAATTTAATGCTTTATTCAATAATGTAATTAATAATTAATAAGCAATTATCAATATATTTGGTTTTGTAGGTAACTCACAACAACAGTCTAATGTTGTTCCATCTTTGGCTACAATAGCTGGCAACGAAATACCTCTTGCTAGTTCTTCCCTTCCAACTCGTCCACCTTTTTATAGCTTAAATGCTGCAGCAGCTGCTACATCATCTACAATGGGTAATACATACTATACATATTAAAATACCTTTATCAAATACAATCAATTTATACTACTATTTAATGTTTATATGGTTGGTGTTTTGTTGAAGTGCCTAACCCACCAAAAATCATACATCATCCTTTTGTTATAAATATTTTCAGAAAAATAAGAAAATTATTTATAATGTTCATTAGCTAAGTACTATTTATATTATAACAATTTTACTTAGTATATTGTACCCTTTTTATAAAATATGAATATGTTATAAGGGTGTACACAAATATTATTTTTACTTGTTTAGGAAGTTAATAATTACCCTAGTTAAACTATAAATGTTTAAACACAATAATTGTGTTATATGTTATTATTATCTAAATATCAATTGGAACTTTAGAGCTTCTAAAATAATATTTTATTGTCAAAGAAGTTCTTAGTTAATTAATAACAATATGAAGTACAATACATTGAAAGGTATATGAATATTGTCATTATTACTCATCAGTAAGTTCTAATAACATTCAAATATTTTGACAAAAATGATCTATTTAAACATTATCTGATCAAATGTATATTACTCTAGGTTTTAGTGATTTTTTCTAGTATAATATTTTATATAAATTATTAACTTTTTTAATTATTACAAGTAAGGATTAAAAATTAAAATATGTGATTAATCTTTTAAATTTATAAAATAATTATTTTGTTAATTACCCATTTTGAAAAAATGTAATTATAGTTACGATCTTCAACAAAGCACCATWAATATTATTCATTTTTATTTTTTTAGTTAAACAATTTTCATTTACTTAATGTCTATAACATAATATATTATAACTTGTTATAATTATTACATAAATAATGTGACATTATTTTTTTTTTTTTTTTTTTAGCAGATTCTGCGTTGAATCGTGTTAAACAACGTTTACAATTCTTACGGCCTCCTCCACCAAAAACAGATTCACCTATACATGACCAAAATCAGTCGTCATCATCATCTTCAGTTATAATTGATCTTACTGTACCTGAATTTCCATTCGAGGCTGTGGCAAATAATGATAATGAAGCATCAATATTTGGTGTTGATAGAAATGTAAGTGATGATAAATAGTTAGTATGTTTCTATTCAAATTGTACCTATAGATTATTATAACAAATTGATGTTTTTATAAGCAGGCAGTAATACAAGTTGATGACCAACAAAATTCATTGGTTTGTATAAATGAGAGCATCATTTCCTTACTTTTAAAATTGCACTCTCAATTGTCGGGTGAACCAGATTCATATCAACTACCTATAATTTTAAACCAATCAGCATCAGAAAATGATAATACCAAAGAAGAAGTACCCCCTTGTGGTGATGGGGCATTTTTTGTGGGTCGTTTGTTAGATAGGATAGCTAGAGGGTCGACATCATGTTATGATTGCATATTGCGTACTAGAGTGGCATTATGGCCAATAGCAGTGGTAATGCGAGAAACAGCTTCACGAGATGATGAAGAGCGTGAGCGCCGGGAACGTAAGCGCCGGGCTCGTGACAAGCAGCAGCAAATGATGGAAGAAATGGCACGAGCGCAACGAGCATTCCTTGAAAGTGCACGTCGCTCTGGAGATCTAGATTCTACTGATACACAATCTACCTGTGCAACTGCTACAATTATGGAATGTGACATACCGGCTCCTACTGTGGATATATCCACTTCGATTACTTCTAGTAATGAAGCCTCTACTTCAACTTTAGCAAATAATATAGTTGAACTAGATGAAAACAGTAGTAGTAGTAATAGTACAACAACAACAACAAAAGAATCAGCTACCCATATTCGCGGATCTGATCAACATGAAACAATGTTGACTGTGGATTGTGTTATTTGTAATCAGACTGTGATCGTACAGATAGAGCAACAGCGTCAAGATCCTGTGGGACTAGTGATATTAGTTCAAGTATGTTTCTTTTAGAATTTTAGAGATCATTTTGAAAATAAATTCATTAATATAATTTTTATTATTAATACTATAAACTAATTTATATTATATCCTTGTAGGGTACAAATGTTTTAGCACACAGGAGACATATTGTTTCACAACCATTAGAGTCAACCAATTTATACAATGCCAATAATAGCAATACTACTGAGTATCGTCAACAACGACTGCAAGATACAGAAAAAGCTACAAATCTCACAAATAGTATTAAAGTTGAAAACAAATGTTTAGTCAACAGTGAACAAAATTATTATCATTATTGGCCTTCTTTACCACCGTTGAATTCACAGCTACATCATCAACAATCTACATCTGTAATAAATGACCCTAAATCACAACAACATAATCAAYCAATTGTGACAACAATTGCTGATAATTATGACGCAACTACGTATGCATCGCATTCTGACCGCCGCAAACGACTATTGTCACAATATTTTAACGTGAGTTTCCTTTCTATTAATTATAATTCATTTACTGTTGAATTATATATAAAATAAAAATATATATATAAAAAAATAAATAAAATTTGATATAACTGAAAACCGTCGATAAAAGAATTTCATTTKTAAGCATTGTTTTTCTTTAGTTCTAAAATTCAAAGTCTGCAAGAAATTTAAAGTTTCTTGAAATTCTTCTAAAATGTATTATTATTATTATCATTATTATTATATAAATTAAACTTATTAAACGCTTTAAATATAAYTGTGACTTATAAAAATTAATTTGTCAATGTACAAACTCAAGATATGCAAGGTTGTAATAAATAAGGAACTTAGTTCATGTTCAAGTTTATTTCTTGAAAGCTGATTTTGTTCATATCAAGTGTATACGATATAAACGCCATCTTTCCCAATCATATTATGTATACATTTATTAGCCATTAGTTCTTCTATTTACCTTAACTATACTGTTACACATTATAATTATTTTTTGATTCATTAATTTTGTAGAACTTGGATAAGGCTGATTTCGAAGTTGGATCCCTTACAACTACTACTAGTGCTACTCCTGTTGGTGGCAATGTCCATGTACAGACATGTGGTCATCACTTACATTTAAGGTGTTGGAGTTCATATCTTGCATCGTTACGCGGTGCTCAGCGTTTTAATTCAGACCGGTATGTTAAACATTAATTTTTTACACCATTACACAATTATTTGATTGCACCTATATGATGCTTTTAAAGGGTTGTTTTTATTTAATGACAAAAACAATTCATTTTTATTCTTTTACAGTGGTGAATATAGTTGTCCACTTTGTCGGCAATTAGCTAATTCCTTAATGCCGTTAATACCAGAATTTACTATTGAACAAAACCAGCAACAACGTGTCAGTACTCCTTATTCCACTATTATTACCTCGAGTGCTATGTCTGATRGTGTGAGCAAATTGACAGAACTAGTAAGACAGCAAGAATATGAATCACCGAAACCAGTACAATCTAGTGATGCTGTTTGCTGCAGTGAAAAGTCTGCCTCAGTTTTCATTGGCGATACAGAGAACATTGTTAATCGACATCCCTTGCATCAGAATGTTCATCATCATAATTTGAATGATGATTATTTTCTGGTTTGTATTTTCAACAGTATAATTATAAGTTTATGAAAGTAGTGAAATGTTATACAATATTTTTATTCTTAGATGCAGGACCAAGTACATGATATTATTCCTGCTGGTGGTGCAGAAGATGGAAATGGTGGTAATGGAGGAGAGGGAGACGATTTAGAAAGTGGAGAAGATCCTCTGTTGAATGCTGTTAATAGATGTGTGAGTGATATGATTACTACAACAGTAGTTACAGCAGCAGCTCAAACTGTATCATTGCCACATACATTATTGACATCAACTCAACGAGAAAAAATGTACAAGGTAAGATGGCATAGTGTTGTGTCTGTTGCTTGGACAAATATCCAAGTGGAATTGGTGCAGCGTAACAACAGTCTTATAGAACAACTGCAGCAAGAACAGTCATCATTACACCGCGGTAATAWCAATTATCGTCACCTCAATTTGTTTTCTGCTACTGCAGTTAATGCTACAGACATCAATGGCAGCAATAATTACTATAATATGCTGCCTAAGCGTAATTGTATAGGTATGTATGTTTGAGTTCACCTCTGTGTTGTTTTCGTCTGACTAAGACATAACATAGTTAATTATACATTTAGAATAATCCATATTTCTATATTACTTTTAATATAAAAGGTAAATTGACCTTWATAAAATTTAAAGTTAAGAACATTATCCAGGATTCCTTGTAAGCATTTTTCAATATTTTACGTTTTGCGGATTTTAAACTTAGGGAAAAATATACATTTTAAAAATGGTTAAAAATTTTTTTTCAAAATTAACATAATATTATAAAAAATTTAATGTAGAATTTGGTATGTTGAGTTTTTGTAAGACAGAAACAATACATGCAGGTATAACATCCTTTTTACAAAAATATGTATGTTGTGTTTAATAAGCAAATAATAAATTTTAGTATAGAACATAATGTTACTATCAGATTTCAATTTTTACTCAGCAATACAATATACATAATATCTTATATTTATCCTGCTTTTAAAAATTATAGGACAATACATATATTGTATGTGATATATATGTCACATTTATATTGATTAAGTAATTTTGTCATGTTATGTCATGGATTTAGGTTTTATCCATATATGACCTGCCCATTCCAGACTTTTTCTTTTTATTTAATTTTTTTTTTCACCACTTTCATAAGTTTCTTTCACAAMATTTTTCCACTGTATTTATATTATTTCTTAGTAGCACTATATAGACTGCATACACTTAAAGACTTATTAATGTTCCATCCAACTTTTATTTAAAATCTCCAAAATTTTTATTATGTAGAAAAACATTTTCGGCAGCAATATACATTTTGAAATTTTTGATTTTTGTGATTTTTGGAACTATCCACTTGTTTGTTACAATATTTTGATAAAAATAAGAGAAGCAATTATACATTTATGGAGAAAATAATATTATATTAGATATTATCTCATTGTTGCCAAAATATTTCAAATATTTTAAATGTGATGTCAATTTGTTCAAATTGTCGAGAAAAATACTCAATTTTAGTCACTTTCACATTCAAGTTATATAAAATTATTTATTTCAATAAAACTCTGTTCCATATTTTTTATTAATTAACCAATAAATTATGTTTTTAACTGATTGTTACGATTAAGTTAAAATATTTCACCATTTRAGTTATGTACATATTATTTGTTTTCAATTWATATATTTTTGAATAGCCAATTTTCATAGTCCCCACTGATATCAGGATATTTTTTTTACCAATTAATAATAATAAAACCTTAAAAAAGAAAAATTATTAATAATTTATAAACATTAATAATAATGAATCGTCCGAAAAATTAAATAGTGAAAAATATTTTTAYAATATATATGTAACATGTTTACATCATATAGAATTTTTGATTGTATATTTTGACATTTTTAATATTTAAGTTAATAAGTGGTTTAATTTAAATTTTTTTAGCACCATTGTTAAAAGTGTTGCGTGTGAGTGCCCGGTCGTTGATGACCAAGTACCAGACTCCTGATTATAATCCCATTAGTGATGTTTGGTACAAATTAATCGGGTGTGAACAGCCTCGACAACAGTTGAGCAATTCTTATCCACCATTATTAATGCGTGATCCATGCTCTGTACTCTTACAACTTGTGTTGTTATTACCTACACTAGACCGCGGTTTGTATTATGTTTTTTAATTTCTACTTTTCCTTTTTTTCTTATAAAAATGTAAAAATTAATWTTAATTTAATTTTTGTTACTAAAACCATACACAAATCTAATATTAATATTTCAATTATGTGTTTAGATTTGTTTGATACTTTAATCAAACTCACATACAACATGCAATTATATGTGGCCGCATTGAAAGTCGCTTCCACGTGGAATCGTAACTGTAAATTTAACCGCCCACAACATTGCAGTAGTCTTAATACAAGAAAACTATCAGCAAGAAATGAAGAAAGAACTGATGGAAGCTCTAGCGTTCGAATGGATTTAGATGACGGATACAATAATAAACTATCATCATTATCAATGGATATTACCGAAGTTGACAATACACTACCACTGGCACCTTTATTTTCACAAGTTGTAGCTTTGGCTAAAACTATAGTGTTTTTGTCTGATGATGATGAAACTGAAATAGTCAACATTGGTTCAATAGTTAATAACGATGATGAATTCATGATGCACCAAGATGATGAGAATGTTGAAAATATTGTAAGTGACGGCAAACTTGATGGGTCAATAAATGCTTCAGAAGATGATGGGGAAATATTGTTGATGCTAGAATCTTATGGAAGACGAAGTACACTTCCATTTTTGCGGTTTGCTGCTCTATTGAAAAAATATATTAATGGTGATGATGATGATAATATAGATGACCACCCTGAGTTAACAATACCATCACCGCAACTAAGTAATTTGATTGTAGAACAGAACAAACAAAGAGAACAACCATTAGATTGCCAAGTCATTTCTCCGCCACAGGTTGAAGTGGACTGTAATGTCGAGTTATCAACTACAAATGATAATCGCCATCATCAACATTGGTCAAACGACGATTATGAATACCTAATGCTCGCTCGGTATTTAAAACTGTTAAATAACAACGAGGAAGGCCATGAAATCAGTGACTATTATGAAGAAACCTATAACTCTAATTGTTCATACATTGAACGTAATGACTATCAAAACCAAACCAATTTTGAAAAAAGACATCATATGCCATTGCAGCCACCTTCTGCCATGGAAGCGGTCATATGGCCAGAATGGTCATATTCTACCGACGATAAAAATAATAAAATTTCGACAACTATTTCTCGTACATGGTTTACATCTTTTCGAGAATCATTGACAACCAAAATACCTAAAGCCACTATCATTGGTGAAAATTCTACTACCATAGTTTCTTCAGCTGCTGCTGAAATTGACCCAAATTCTAAAGCCACAACTTCAGCTAATATCATAATGGCCGCACGTATGTTGCTTTTTGCTGATTGTTGTGATAGCGGTGGTGTTAGCGATGGCACTAGAGCTGGTATCTTGGGTACCAGTCTTAGTTTATTCCCACCAATCACTTGGGCGGGGCCTCGATTGTTAAAGCTGCCACATCTGTATGACGATGTTTTCCAATACTATCATGGTAGGGCCTGTCATCGATGTCATGGCGTGCCACGAGAGACAAGCGTATGCTTGGTTTGTGGAACTGTCGTATGCCTGAAAGAAAATTGTTGCAAAACAAATCATATTTATGAAGCAGTACAAGTATGTGCATTTTTAGTATATGTTAATATTATTTTAATGTTAGAAAATAATAATTATTGATTGAAAAAAATTAACTTTATTTTTTATAGGATTCTAACTGTAAAATCTTGATAACCCTTATCCTTTCTTAAAATCTTCATAATCCATTTTTATTTTATTTTTTTACTTTTTAAATTTGTGAATTATATCATTAGTAATATGCAAATTTGAATAAATATAATTTATTATWACACAATATTACAAATTATTATAATATTGTGTTTTTTCTTGTATATTAGCATTCATTAGAATGTGGCGGCGGTACGGGAATGTTCTTGGTTGTGACTTCTAGTTCAGTTGTTGTAATTCGTGGCAAACGGGCATGTCTTTGGGGGTCTGTGTACCTTGATGCATTTGGCGAAGAAGATCGTGAACTCAAGTAAACATAATTTAATAAATTTGTTTGGTTTAACATTTGATTTAAATATAAACATATTTAATTATTGCCTTAAAACAGACGAGGAAAACCATTATATCTTAGTGCAGAACGGTACAGATTGTTGGAACATCAGTGGTTGGCGCATCGATTTGACCACACTAATAAGAAATGGGTATGGCACAGAGATGCATTGTAAATAAAATGGAGACAACAGTAATGATAATGGCTTCGATTATATTATGTATGTTGTAAACAATTTTTTATGATTATTGTTATTATTTACGTATGAACTATTATTATTTTTATTATTTTAACTATTTTACTCCAATTACAATTATATTAAAAATAATTATGTATATAGAATATGTTTATTGATGTGAATTAATTATTAATTATTATGTTGTGTGTATGTATGTAACATAGCATCCAATCTTATATTACCTTAATTAATATACATATGTAATAGCTACATATTTGTGCGCCGTGTTACTTACCATTTATTATTATTATTATTATGTATTTGTTTTTTGTTGTTGTAATAACTAAAAAACCGTCAACTGTATCACGACACCTATGTATACATTTGAATAATATATATTTAATAATAACATTAATAATGATGTAGAATGTTCAACTACTTTTTATACATAAATATTATTTTCATACTTTATTGTATTCCCTTAAATTGGATCTAAGTATTGAAATATTAATGTGTGGAAAATTTTAGAGAATTAACTGAATGCTTGTTCTTTAGGTGGGTAATCAACCCTCTCCACGTTTGTATTTATTTATCTGTGATAGGAAATAAAATAATATTCTTCATACCTGTATAGTATTTAATTWAAAAAAAAATATATTGTCATTTTTATAGTTAAATGCACTGATATTATTATAGTTATGACAATTTATGCATTTATATTTAACTTACCATATTAAATTTTCCTTAACTGAACGGATAATGAAATGCTAAATATTTGGTAAAAAGAAATAAGAAATACATATTCTTACGTAGTTAATAGGGATCGTRTTTAACCAATGAATCAAATGTTTAATTAGTGAAGTTGCATAGTAAACCGTTAAATAATTAAATAGTTGATTAGTAAAAAATCTTAAAAGTGTTGAATGTATAAGTGAAATAATTATAATTTTAGAAAATTCAATTTATCGTAAATAATTTTAGGTACTTGAACTAGAAAAGTATCTGTATAATATTATTATCAAAGCATCTGAGATCAGTGAAGCAAAAGAAAAATTGATTTATTACAATAAATTCTGTTTTCAGCAATTATTATTTCTACTATCACATTCAATACGAATTATGATCTGCTTCTTTATTATTAATTTGACCTTGATTCTGAATACGTATTTCTATTTTCTACGTTAAATATTTTAATGATTTTTCAAATCATTTATCAGTGAAAATGAAGGACAATCATAGTATGTAACAAAACAACAGTCACAAAAAAAATAAAAATAATAATTACACAAACGGAACACAATCTACAGTGACGGTAGTTAGCATGCTCATTACTTTGTGTCCGGATATCAATTCTCTTACATTATTTGAAATATGATGTTTATATGCAGCAGAAATTGATGAAATATTCTTTATATTGATTCCGCCGGACTCTGTTTATCCCCCCCCCCCTTGTATATGTATTTTATATAGTAGGATACAGGATCGGTAATATATAGGTAATATACGATTTACAGCAATACGTATGGAATAAATTAAAATACCTATATTGACTCGTTTTATTTTTATTATTTTATACAAATTGGACTATACATTTTAGTTTTAATTAGTATACAATTATAATCATTTTATATATAATTTATATATTATAAAGTATATTATGTAGGACTGTAATTTTAATAATACATTTACAAATTACAAGGGCGGGATAAACAGTAGCCGGCGGAATAAATATGTACCTAATTAATATTAACAGTAGCCGGCGGAATCGATATAAAATTGGCGGAATCGATATACGCCCTAGTAGGTACCATTGTTGAATTATACAAGGTTATTGCATACCGACAAGGATTGTTATCATCGGATACAAAATGGCTGCATAAAAGCATATCACAAATTACAAAACATATCAATTTTTCTTATGAAAAATTCGCTGACTGTCAGCAAGGTTTTTAGAAACTAAAGGTTGCCTCATAGTCAACAAACTCGAACCCCCCGCACCATTCACAGCCAAGTGATGTCATCGTAGTACTAATTCGGTGGCCTGTCATATTCTATATGTATTCGGCATACAATTATATACTCTACTAGCTGAACTCATGCACTTCGTAGCCCGTTAAAAATCCTACCTCTTGAATGTCTCAAACTGTTAATTAAATTCGTTGCTTGTGAWCATGCTAGCAGTATTTTTTTGTACATATATATAGATAATGGTTAAAATATATTAAGTAATAAACTTACACTGATAATCAATTTAGTTTATCATTATGTAAATTTATTCGTTTTATCGAGAARAGTCYGACAATTCAAATATTCAATAGAATGATATTTAAGTCTGTCACTTTTTAACTTAGCCTATCTTATGCCCATAGGTCTAATATATTTCTGTACCAAATTTCGTCGCAATTWGTTCATCCGTTTAGRAATGCATAAAGGACAAACAGACAGAAATCCATTTTGATATATATAGATGATACTAATTAGTACGTAATTATAGTTTATAATCATTGAATTTTTTTTTTTTAATAAACTATTTTAAATATTGTTATGTATATAATATACTTTGGACCTTTTTAATTTGGACTTTTTAGGCTTAGGACTTTTTCACCACGATTCGATTATGTTACATCTTACATGGCGATCTAATATTTAACTCACCGCATGGGCCATGAATCATATTCTTGCATACTATTTTATATAGTATAAGATCTCTGTCTTTGTTCGGTATCTCAGCAGAAATAATTTTATCAATTTCATCTGGCTGAATTTTCGTTTGTAACCACAAAAGAATGTGGCAGTGTGGCAAACCTCGAATAGCCATTCAACACTGTAAACCTAACAATTTATATCTCCGAAAATACATTTATTTTTTAATACATGCATAACATTTTTTAGTTTGAGATAAAAAACTCTAGAGATTATATCGTGTCTATCAAACGAATTTTGGTCTTGAAATAATTAATTTTTTATTTCCGGCCATTCCTGGTTGCATGTGAAAGTAATAAATAAATCTGGACGGCCAAATTTACGAACATAAGTCATGGCATCCTGATTTTTTTCATGCATGTAACGTGGGAAACCAGTAAAAGAGAAGTGAAGAATTACGTTGCCCCACGTTATTAGCATTAATATTTGCATCATTGTTAACATCATTTCGGAGGTGAACATAATCATCCGCACGTAGTTGTTTTTGATGGTTACGAATAAAGTGTAGTCTTTCAGAAATYRWTTTTGCMAWCATATCTACGGCGAATTGGCTGAATAATGTTTTGTAATAATGTTTGAATAGATATTTGATCCTACTCTGACATAAAATATATTTGTAAAAATTTAGCATTATTTCCAATTTCGGGTAATAAACTACCCATTAAATGATGCACTGGACCCTAAATTTTAAAAGTGGGCATAATGTTCCCTTCAGCTATTTCGTTTGCTCCAAACGATGTCATTTGAAACAGAGTATTATACCGTCCAGAATCATCAAGGAAATGTTTTGATAGAGGGTAATAATTATCTATTAAACTTTTAATTAAGTCTGGAAGATTCTCAAATTGGTGTAAAACAACTTTACCGTCAGCGCAGCAAAGTCCATGGGTTTCACCTTTCCATTTTTTTGCATGGCACTTAGGACATAATATAGTCATTGGTCCTATTTGAAGCGCTTTAATATTTAAATAMTCAATCTCGGATTGATAATTAAACGCTGATTTCATATTCAAAGCGTTACGTTGCTCCTGTGAAGTGTTTGATGAGAACGTACTGATGTGATATCTTGTTGAACTCTGTTATACATTCGAGTTGCATTGGCAGTTCTTCTTCCAATGCGTGCTCTTGACGCTCTCGGCATGATAAGTAAAAATAAGTATATTTTATCAAACTAAGCACAAACTATTTAACAAAAAGATTTATGGTACATTTATAATAATATGAAAAAAAAAA